GGAAGCATGGTCCCCTGGGGACCTCTGGGCCCCTCTGAGGCAGGACCTGCTCTCCAGGCCACACATGACCTTGCTTCCGGGACATCACCATCCTGCGCCCTGAACACTGTTGCTCTCAGCTCACTGATGAGGGCAAGGCCTCAGGGACAGTGTCTCCAGGGATGACTGAGCACCTCTCTTTACTTTCCCCAGCCGGACCAGCCTTGACTGTGGGGTGATCACCAGCAGCCGAGCCAGCCGCCTGGCCCCGGGAAAGCCACAGGCACCAGAGGTTCCAGGAAGACCTAATGAGGGAGCACGTGTCCATCCTGCGGGACATGCTGCAGACACTGGCCCAGAAGGCCTGGGATGATGCACAATGTGGACTGAGCTACTGCAGCGGGGCTGCAACATGAGTGCGACCGTCCGGGAGAAGATGACCTTCTCGGCACCAGTCCCAGTCCCTGCTCGTACCCGCTCCCCCTCCCATGCCAGCCCCTGCCGCCCCTTCCATGCCTGACCCTGATCGAGGCCCCCTCCTGCGTATCCCCCATCCGCCCAGGACCCAAGCTCAAGGTCGCCGAGGTCCCTGGACACGAGGTGGAAGAAGCACCTGAGCCACATACCAGTCTCAGCCTCAGCTCTAAGCCTCTCCTCCCACCTCCAGGTTTCTCAGCCCCCCTCCCCACTTACATTTATCCCAAATAAAAAATCACACCGTTCTTTTTTCAAAACCAAACATGTTTTTTATTGTGTGTGCAGGGAAGAGGGGTTGTAGGGGGAAGGGAGGGGTTGTTGGAGCAAAGGCAGAGAGGGGCAAAGCACAGGTCCCTAGTGGGGAGGTCCTGGGGAGAGTTGCTGGGGACTTTCAGAGAAACCCTCCCTCAGGGCCTCCCAGCTGCGCATCCCGACCTGATGGGCCTGGCGGATGGCAGCTGCTCAAAGGCCCATCTCTCCTGGCCAGCGTCTGCCACCCCATCCTGGAAAGAAGGCCTCCCCCTTCATCTTCACATTGTTGTGGAGCACACAGCATGCGGAGATCCCCCGGGGGATGTTGTGCTCCCCCACATCAAGGTGGGTCAGGAGGCACCTGAACCACAAGCACCTGAAGGTGCATTCGGCCTGCATGTGAGCCCTTCCCAGGCAGCCATTGAACCGGTCCTTGCTAGGGGCCAGGTGGCTGGCGTAGGGCTTCATCAGCCACGGCATGAGGGAATAGGCTGCATCCCCCACCATGCACAGTGGCATGTCCACGTCCTCACCCTTGATACTGCATTCAGGGAAGAAAATGCCGTCCTCCAGCTTGTGGTAGAGGCTGGAGTTGTGGAAGACACGGGCGTTGTCTGTGAACTGGTCGACCAGGGGAATGTGGGTTCTATCTATAGCCTCCACCCTCCCCCCTAATTGTGGGGCTATAGATAGGGCAGCAAATCCAGCCACGATGGGGTCCACATCACCCGGGCAGCTGACCCAGTGCAGCAGGGTGGTGTTTCTGGCCCTTGCCACCTGAAGAAGGAGACAAACAAAGAAACAAAACAGAGAATCAAAGGGGGGTCCTTTGTAGGTCCCTGAGCCCTCCTCCCCCACACACAAACACCACAAGAGCCACTCCCTATGAAGCTGTCTCCCTTCCCCACCAGAGCTGTGTGAGGACAGGACTGCAGAACCTCCCGGAGATGGGGCTTCCCCACCACTACTCCCAGCCCACTCCCACTCCTCCAAACCCCCCTTTCTCTAAGGTCCCCCTTTCCAATACTCCCCCCCCATCCAGGAACTGCAGCCCAGGAGCACCATACCTGCACGAGGAGGACCCCAACGGTCGACTTTCTCATGCCAAACTGGTTGCCCATGGACTGATAACTGTCAGGTGTGGTAACAACTTCTCCAGAGGGATGGCGGGTCACATTCGGGTATCACATCATTGGAGGGCAGGGGAGAGCCAGGCACACAGCTCCGAGAACGTCTCCTTCCTCATGGAAGTTTTGGAGCCACTGCTGGTCGTCCCACTGCTCCGTCACCAGCCGGTCCCACCAGTCAGAACTGGTGTCCAGCCTCCAGAACCGTCTCTCCAGTGTGGGGTGCGCTCGTAAGGGCCTTGCTCCCGCGCACAGACAGAAGGTCTCAAAGATGAGCTGGGAGTCGAGCTCGTGAATGGCCATGAAGGCAGCCTGTAGAATCTGCTGCAGAAACTGCAGTATGGCTGTGTGGGGCCATTGCATGCCCAGAGGAAGCTCTGGCTGCATGGCAAGGAGTGTGCTGTGGTGTCCAAAGACAGGGCAACCAGAGCACACAAAGGAGATGCTTTGCTGTCCCTCGCAGAGGTAGGCAAGCAGGCAGCAGTAGCAGAGAAATGGCTGTCCAGGGGGGTCCCTTTAACCACGTGTCTCATCTAGCCTTAGGCAGCAGCACCGGAAGCAACTGCTGACCCAATGCCCTGCCTGAACTGGTTCCGAGTGGCCTTAAATGCAAGAGAGCATCTAGTCAGTGTAGACGCTCTCATTCAAAATAGCAAATCACTATTCTGTAGCACTGTTTATGTGTGGATGCTCTATTTCAAAATAATTACAGTCAGTCCCCGGCTTACAATTTGGTCGTAAGTCGGAAATACCCTTAAATGTGCTGCCCGCACCGTTCGAAAAACTTGACGTACATGGTTCTCAACTCAAAAATATTATAATGGGGTTAATGGGAGGTTGGTCGTAAGAATGGATGGTCATAAGTCAGTGTGTTCGTAAGTCAGGGAGTGGCTGTATTCCAAAAGAAGCTTGCAGTGTAGATGTACCCTTAGACTTGCCACAACATGCCATCAGTTAACTTTAATGTTAGTGTTAGGCCCTAGAGAATTGGGCCTAGTGAAGTTATGCTAAGACAGATCAAGGAAAGAGGTTAACAAAGGTTTCTGGGTAGTCCCTGAGCAGAACTGGAGACATGGTTCAAGCAAGGGGCGCTCCCTACATACTTGCTTGAGTTGCAGAAGTAAAATAAGTGAAAGGCTGCATTCCTATACCGGTAGTGATGGGAACAGCTAGTTTGAGAACTGATAAAGTAACTCCCTGTTTCTGTTCTCACCCTGATCTTAACGAACTGTCTCTGCCCTTTGTTTGTTTTAACTCCGTCTCCTTGTTGTTTGGTACTTGCCTTCTGGGCTGATAAGAAAGCTGTTGACGGGATTTAAATAGCCCCCACGGCATTTAAATAAAAATGTCCGCCGTTTTTTTCCGGCTTTTAGAAAAGCCGGAAAAGAGCGTCTACACTGGCCCCGATCCTCCGGAAAAAGCGCCCTTTTCCGGAGGATCTTATTCCTACTTCAAAGTTCCTACTTATTATTTAGGCACTTTTTTCCGGCTTTAAAGTAGGAATAAGATCCTCCGGAAAAGGGCGCTTTTTCCGGAGGATCGGGGCCAGTGTAGACGCTCTTTTCCGGCTTTTCTAAAAGCCGGAAAAAAGTGGCAGACATTTTTATTTAAATGCCGCGGGGGATATTTAAATCCCCTGCGCATTTCCCTATTGCGATTTCAAAAATTACCATGCCCCTTCCGGAAAAGGGGCCAATGTAGATGTAGCCATGAAGAATACGCATTAACACTAGAAGCTTCTAACTAATTAAGGGGGGCTGAGATGCTTGGGCAAATGTTTTATGATGCAATGGAACTGTCTATATAAACTTACTTGTTACTGAAATCGTGGCTGGTTCACTTGGGAGATGGGCCGCTCTCTATTGTAGTGCGCACTATCCAATAAAAAGCTTGTGATTGAACCTTGCTGGTGTTGCCTGTCTCTTCGCGGTCAGACAACGAACGGAGGCTGTCCGGGATCGAGTCCCCGACATTAGTTACTTTTGTAACAGTACAGTTACTATGCGCATGAAACAGTGTCAATTTTCTAGAATTCGTAACCAAAATACCACTTAAAGACAAAGAATATTCACTGACAAATAAGAATGTGCAGACTATTGTGTCTTTCAGCATTTTTATTTATTTCCGTACTATACCGCTCAACTATAATGTTTCTTTGCATCTTTTTCTGTAAGTGGGAAGTAACACGCATTAAACTGAACAGAAAACAACTATTAGTTTTACAATTACAACTGCAAATGCATATACTGAAGAACAATCACAGGAAGCTGGGAGGGGTTGCAACTGCTTTGGAGGATAAAGGCATAATTCAGAATGATCTGGACAAACTGGAGAAATGGTCTGAGGTAAATAGGATGAAGTTTAATAAGGCCAAATGCAAAGTACTCCACTTAGGAAGGAACAGTTTCACACACACAGAATGGGAAACGACGGTCTGGGAAGGAGAACGGCAGAAAGGGATCATAGCAGACCACAATCTAAGTTTGAGTCAACAGTGTGACGCTGCTGCAAAAAAAGCAAACATGATTCTGGGCTGCAATAACAGGGCTGTGTCTACACTGGCATGAATTTCCGGAATTGCTTAAAACGGAATACTATTCCGTTTTCAGTTTTTCCGGAAAAGGAGTGTCTACATTGGCAGGCTGCTTTTCCGGAAAAGCCCTTTTTCCGGAAAAGTGTCTATGGCCAATGCAGACGCGCTTTTCCGGAAAAGAGCCCCGATCGCCATTTTCGCGATGGGGCTTTTTTCCGGAAAAGACTACTGGGCTGTCTACACTGGCCCTTTTCCAGAACAGTGTTCTGGAATAAGGACTTATGCCCTAGCGGGAGCAGAATAGTTTTTCCGGAATAGCGGCTGATTTTGTACAGTAGAGCATCGTTGCTTTTCCGGAAATTCAAGGGCCAGTGTAGACAGCTCGCAGCTTATTCCGGAAAAGCGGCTGATTTTCCGGAATAAGTGGCCCAGTGTAGACACAGCCCAGGAGTGTTGTGAACAAGACACGAGAAGTCATTCTTCTACTTTACTCTGCATTGATTAGCCCTCAACTGGAGCATTGTGTCCAGTTCTGGGCACCGCATTTCAGGAAAGATGTGGAGAAATTGGAGAAGGTCCAGAGAAGAGCAACAAGATGATGAAAGGTCTAGAGAACATGAGCTATGAAGGAAGACTGAAAGAACTGGGCTTGTTTAGTCTGGAAAGGAGAAGGCCGGGAGGGGACACGAGAGCGGTTTTCAGGTGTCTAAAAAGGTGTCACAAGGAGGAGGGAAACAAATTGCTCTCCTTGGCCTCTGAGGACAGGCCAAGAAGCACGGGGCTCCACAATGCTCCATTAAAGGCCCGGGCTCCAGCCACGGCCACTCCCACAGTAGCGGTGGCCAGGAGCTCCAGGCACCTTTGTATCATCGGGCCCCAGAACAACAGCCCCCGTTCTCTCCCCTCACCCCATCCATGGGCCAGGTTGGGAGGAAACGTTGTTCAGGAGTCTCAGGGTGACTCTCCCCTGGAGAGCTTCGGGGGAAGAGCTCTCCTGTCAGCATAAGAAAGCTGCCTGAGTGCCAGGCAGGAGCTGTGCTGGCATGCAAAGCTCTCCCACTGACAGTGCTGCCCACCAGCACTTGCGTCCCCCAGGAGCACGGCTCAGTCATTCCCCTGAGCCACATAAGTTAGAAACAAAGCAGGTGGATGGGAAGCCTAAAAGAGCAAACGACAGTGCTGGTGCAAACGATGCTGCAGGATACATGCCGGGATTGCAGGGGTTGGCTGGCCTCACATTCTTGGTTTCATCCTTCCTAGAGACAACCAGCGCAGGCTGCATTGGCGCAGATCTCACAAATGTCTATGTCCTGGACAGCCAAGTCTGCTCAGGAAGAAAAGAGAGTAGGTCAGTGACCCTGGCAGGGTGTTTCCATAGGGCCTCCTTCTCACTGTGCATTGGAAGCTGTACTGGTCACCCCACAACACACCCTGGAAGGTTGCACCTTGGAAAGTCTTAACAGAAGAGCCACCTTTTCCTCCAGAGCGGGGGAAAGTCGTGCAGAGGAGCTTGGTGTTCAGTGACTGACCGGGTGCACTTGGCAGCACAGAGCTGGGCTGTACACAACCCAGCTTTATTAATTCCCAAAGTTTAAAGCCAGAAAGGACCACAAGTAACTTAACTTCCTGGATACCGGAGGCCGTTCAGTTCCACCCGGTTCTGTCTGTACTGAGCTTCCTCATTTGTGTTTCACTAAAACGTCTTCCAAAAAAGAGCCAAGAGGTGAGAGAGAATCCTCCCTGACTTTGGGAGGTTTGTTCCCAGGGTTAATTACAGTTGGACTCTGTTTCTAATTTGAATGAACTCAGTTCTTGCTCTGCTTTTCTCCAGCAAAATGAAAGAGCCTTATAGGGCCTGTCTCTTGAGCAAGCAGCTGCAGTGCTCTGGCAGGCCAGGCTAGTTCTGGTGCAGGGTACACGTCTTTCCCTTGGACTGAGGGGCTGTGTCTACATTGGCACCCCTTTCCGGAAAAGGGATGCTAATGAGACACTTCGGAATTGCAAATGCCACGGGGGATTTAAATATCCCCCGCGGCATTTGCATGAACATGGCTGCTGCTTTTTTCCAGCTCAGGGTTTTGCCGGAGAAAAGCACCAGTCTAGATGGGATCTTGCGGAAAATAAACCCTTTTCCAGAAGATCCCTTATTCCTACTTTCAAGGGTTAATTACAAGTAGGAATAAGGGATCTTCCGGAAAAGGGCTTATTTTCCGCAAGATCCCATCTAGACTGGTGCTTTTCTCCGGCAAAACCCTGAGCTGGAAAAAAGCAGCAGCCATGTTCATGCAAATGCCGCGGGGGATATTTAAATCCCCCGTGGCATTTGCAATTCCGAAGTGTCTCATTAGCATCCCTTTTCCGGAAAGGGGTGCCAATGTAGACACAGCCAGGGTGTTTAGTCTGGACGATGCTTGTCTTGACCTAGGGTGTGTCTAGACTACAGGTTATTTTTCTGAAAAAGTAGACTTTTTTCAAAAAATGTCACCTGCGTCTGAGACTGCAGCCATGTTCTTTTGAAAGTAAATCGAAAGAACGCGACAGCTTTTTCTATCTCAGTAAACCTCAATTTACGAAGAATAACGCCTTTTTTCGAATGTACTCTTTTGAAAAAAGGCACTATTGAATGCAAACTGTGCTTTTTTGAAAGAGATCTAGACTCTCTCTTTTGAAAAAGCAGCTCGCTTTTTTGAAAAATCTGTTTGTAGTCTGGACGCTCTCTTTCAAAAGAGGCTTATAGTCTAGACGTAGCCCTAGTGAATTGTGGTTTTTGAATCCGCCGCCCCGCCCAGCTCAGAGAACAAATAAACAAAATAAAATATCAGACATTACAGAGGTTCATGAAGGAATCACTGTGAATTTTCCGCCCTGACCTATGCAGGTCAGACTAGATTGGAAAGCCCAGTCTAGGGCCCATGGGCATTGTGTAAGGCCAGCCACCTGTATCAGTACAATATACTAAAGGCCAACTCATCAGTGTTTTGTCATTGTGTTTACATCATTGTCATTTACCCACGTGTGTAAACACACAATACTGGACATAGGTTGTTTCTATCTCAAACATGCAACACAAGTCAAACATAAAATACCTGTCAATATAGGTGCCTTTACATCTGCTTTTAATCTACAGACTCTGTTTGGCCAACACAAGCGTGTGCTTAGGTTCAGGTGGCCCTCCCATGGGCACCATGGGACCAGATCACCACAAAAGTCCCTTTGGGCTTTAAACCCAGCTAAGTAGTAGCATGGACAGAAAGCGGTCCCATAGCCCCTTCAGCTTGGTCCCAGCCATTCCTGCATGGCCAGCTGTCAGTATAGGCATGGCTGTGCAAGCTATCATCAGCCTCCACACTGCCATTGCTACAGGGCCCCTGCCAGCTGCAGCAAGCGCATGGGAACACTGGCTTATCTGCGGTTACTGGAAGGGGCGAGGGGCTAGCCACGCTGAGCTGCTCTCAGGACAGGCTGAGAGCCTCCAGGGACCCGTGCAGGAGCTCTGTGGCTGCCTCTCTCTAACATTCACAGCCACGCAGGCAAAGTGGGAAGGTTGAGAGTTTACGCTACGTACTCAGCCTGTGAAAAATGAGGGGCACATCTTCCCTCTTACAGACATCCTGAAATTCCTTGGGCAGTTCGGGCCTTGAACACACAGGAATGAAACTTGTCCTAGCCATCATATGGGGCTTGGATCTGGCATCCACATCCAAGAGTTCCTTCAGCTTCTTCACAGCCTCTAGCGGGAACGAGAATTCCCCCTCCTGCGTAGAGAAAGCAAGGCAATACGGCAGGAAAAGTCATTACGCAGATCCCTCTTGCTTCACCAGAAGCTGCACACTGTTCCATTTCGGCCAACCAACCAGACAGAGGTTCCCTAGCTAACACTCTGGACAGTAACCGCAGCACGCATTGCACACACACCGCCCTCCCCAGCCCTTCAGCTAAAAATCTCATTGGCATTGTCGGCTCCTGGAGAATCAAGAACGGAACTGTGCCACAGGGCCCTCCCCTCTGTGTGCGCCACAAAGCGTTCTGTATATTGATGTCAAAGCTGGTGGTAACTACTGTTTCTATGGGGCTTGGTGCCACCACCAGGGCAACACTGTCATATTGGCAGTCCAGCGGGAGAGGGATGGGTGCATAGAAAGGAATCGATCAGGTGGAGCAGGCAGAGCCCACTCCCTTTCCCACCAGAGAACATGGCTGTTCCTGAGCTGTAGAGCTGCCAGATTTTATAACGGAAGCTGAAACATTTCTTTGCCAATGATTTCTCTGTTTACACTCTGGAGATGCTACATGCCCCACAAAGCATCCTTCGTGCATCTCTGCAATGTGCCACCCAGCTCAGTGCCATATGGAAGGTATTGTGTTTACTATACACAGCCCCTGAAAACACATTGCAAAGACACATGGCTGTCTGTCACCCTCTTGGCGAAGACACTCTGCTGCTCGTCTTGCTGTAGGCCGCGTGGAACGAGAGCAGAGGGATTTCACAGGCCGACAGGCTCGGTGGGGTTTAAAACCTGGGGATCCTGAACTAGCCCACGTGAAAGGGTTAGAATACTGCTCACAAGTGATTCGTGCGAGCTCTGGGTGAGCTGCAATGCATGAATGTCAACACAGGGCTCACAAATGCAAAGATACTTCCCATTCCGCGCAGCCACTGGGACTAGCTCTTCCCCAAGAAGTTGGGCTCAAAGTGCAAGTAGCTGGAACCTTCACCCCTGCCTGTGTGCCGTTGTGCACATGCACAAAATGCATTTGCTTTGTTACTAGCAGTAGAGTAAGCAAAGAGAACCAGGGGCCAACAGCACATTAAAGACATTAGAAAGGCAAAACCAATTTTCCAATGAGCTGTGGCTTTGTTTTGAATAGAAGCTACTGCTGCAGCCGCAAGGCAGATGGGAAGAGCTGGAGATTTTTTTTTCCTTTCATAGAAACCATCTGTTCTCACCCCTACTCACTGGGCCCAGGGACAGCTTAGGGAAAAAGGAAGAGGAGACTCCTAAACAGCAACGCTCTGCCTGAAAACGGGAAGGAGAAAGTAGAGCAAAGCTGAGATTGTGTATAACAGTCCCTGGGAAACCTGCCCTCCACACAGAGATTTGATGAGCAGCTGACATTCCCATGAAGCTTGGGCAATTGCAATGAAATTGAATGATCACAGGCTCCTAATGAGGTCTAAGCACAGACAGAATTCACCCTCTCTGCCTCTGTCTGTCTGTCTCTCTCTCACACACTCACCCCTTGGCCCGCATTTGCAAATACCACAGCACCCCAATGTTCCCAAAGGGCCAGTAGGGGGTGATGATAATCTGGCCTTATTTACCATCCCCCTTTTAGGACTATTTTTTACTTCCTACGTGATATTTGTTCAGGCTCCGTCACAAAAAATAGAGGATTATTTTCAGGAAAATAGTGACTTCCTTCAGCCCAAAGGCTGGTTAGCCAGGTGGGCCACAATTCACGCACCCCTTCTTTGAAAGAGAAGCTCTCACTAGTGGCGGAGTCTGGAGGTGCCTGGCTGCAGGCTTCCTCAGGCATACGCTCGGCATGTAGCGTCAGAGCATCTTGCACTGAAGGACTCCAAATCATGGTGCAAATGATCAAGCCTCACAAGCCCCATTGTGCTGACCCATCAATGGGGGAATGGGGAAATGAAGTCACCCCATGTCAGTGCCAAGGTGAGGCTTAGAACCCAGGAGACCACGGCATGACCCCTCCCTTTGCACCAAGCTACCCCTTGTAATAAGAAGAGAACGAGGTCTGAGAGCCCAAGATCTCACCTTGACATAGACAGGCTGGGAGCTGTGTGCCAGCATCAGAAGCATAATAGCTACTGGGAAAATGACGCCTTTCATGGCACCTTCCCTGCCTGGCTGCACGCTGTCTTGATCTGTGTTTGCCTTGCCCTGGGCCTCTCTGGCTCCTCTTCTCTCTCCTCTCGGCTCCCTCGTGCTCTGAGTGCTCAGTCCCTCCAGCAGCCAGGCCTGTTTCTGCCCGAGGTGAAGGGGGCTTTATAATGCCTTCATACAGAGCTCACTTGGTAACTCATTAATCCAACCTTTTAGAGAGCAAATTTATGGCAGTTAATAAAGGCTGCAGGGACTAATGGTTAACCACTGGCCAACAGAGCATATCAGCCCCACCCTATGCAGGTCCCAGACTTTATGAGTCTCTTCAGTCCTGGGAAAGTAGCTATAATCCAAGGGACCATAAAATCGCAGCCCTTGCATACCTAAGTCAAACACACTGGGCCCAGGTCCCCCAGGCCGTGGGTCCTTCTTCATTTCCAAGCCAGCTCATGGGTTTGCAAGGTTCTAAGACAAAAGGAGGCTAGGAATGCGATGAGAAGTGTTTGGCGATTTGAAGTAACTGCTGGTCACTCGACTCCCTCCAGGAACTCCAGCGAGTAAGGAATGCAGCAATGGAGCAGGGGGAGGAGAAGAGTTGAATCTACTCAGGACACATGGTGCCTGCCGTGGGAGGATCTTGCTGCTGCTCTTTGAAGCACCTTGCTAGATTGTTCTCATGCATGGCACTTCTTGTTCCCAGATCAGGCCCTTCATCCAGAGAGACAGTGTGATAGCCAGAGCCATGAATGGCGCACACAACGGGCACGAAGATGCACTCATTGTATTCTCGTTTCCTTTTTATTCCTCTGCTGGGGATAGAGCCTTATAAGGGCACGTCTACACTGCAATGCTATTTTGGAATATCTAGCGCTATTCCAGAATAACGTAGACTGTGTCTACACAGCAGGCAGTTATTTCAAAATGGTGTAAAAATACTGTCAAGCTAGAGGACTTCTGACTTCCACTCCTGTATCCCTCGTAGGAGGAGCAGGGAAAGTCAGAGGAAGAGGGCTTTACCTCGAAATAAGAGCTGTGTAGACGCTCCCTATTTCAAAATAAGCGACGCAATTGACGTAGCTCAATTTGCGTAGCTGATTTTGAGTTAAGCCCTTCTGTGTAAATGCACCCTAAGTCCCAGTGGCTTAATCATCATGAAATACAATCACCCAATCAATCACACAATCATAATCACAATCAGCGAACAGAGCAGCAGCCAACAGGGAACCTGGCCTGGGAGTTCACACTGGGAGGAGTCTCATAGTGTTTCGTGTGTTTTTTTCTCTCCAGCCTTTCAAGGAGGCATTTCATAATAGCTGAGGAATCTCTCCGAAGGAAGGCAGGGATGGATGGTGATAGGTCTGCTGTTGTTACCTGCACAGCGTGTGCCATGTTTGTCTTCCTCCTGGAAGAAAGAACGGATTTCATCTGCACCAAGTGCAAGCTGGTCACCATTTTGAAAGAAAAAATTGCAGGACTTGAGGCCCAAGAACCAACCCTACGTTCCATCAGAGAGGATGAAGACTTCCTCGATAGAAGGCAGCGTTTAATCCTGCAGGCACAACAGGCTGAAGAGCAAGTGAGAACAAGGAAGAGAACTGGCAGCATGTAACCTCTAGAAGAAGAAGGCCAACTCAGGTATCCCCTATTCCTGTAGAGGTAAGTAACCGCTTTCAGGTTCTCTGTACAGGCAGTATGATGGAGAATGCTTTGGCAGGGACCTCTCAAGGAAGAAATCAGAGGGAGACCCCATCTACTGGAAGGCATGAGATGCGTAGCCCTAGGGATGGGAGTTCCATGACCTCCACCCCCAAAAGAAGAAGACGGGACAGAGGTCCCTAAGAGGGACAGAGTCATCCATCTACCGTCCAGTATTGCAATCTCAAGAAGTGTGCTGCTTACCAGGAGCTAGCATTCAGGATATGACAGAGAGTTTCCAAAACTGATTAAATCTTTGGATCGCTACCACTTCCTGCTTCTCCATATGGGAACTAATAATATGGAGAAGAATGACCTCGAACAGGTCACTGCAGATTATGTAGTGCTGGGAAGAAGGATCAAGGAATTTGAAGTATAAGGGTACATCTACACTACATGGCTCTGTCGACGGAGCCATGTAGATGAGCTTTGTAGACATAACAAAATGAAGCGGCGACTTAAATAATCGCCGCTTCATTTACATCAAAATGGCTGCCGAGCTTTGCTGATCAGCTGTTTGTCGGCTCAGCGCGGTAGTCTGGACGCTCGGTGGTCGACATCAAAAGTCTTTGTCGGCTGCCCCGGTAAACCTCATCTCATGAGGCATAATGGAGCAGTCAACAAAGGCTTTTGATGTCGACCGCTGAGCGTCCAGACTACCGCACTGACCACCAAACAGCCAAACAAAAGCTCAGCATGCAGCAAAAAAACCCCAAACACAAGCACAAACATACACTACATACAGCCACTTCCCTCAACGGTCCTGTATTAGCTTCCTTCTTTATCTGGAGAACTCCCTCTCCAAACTCCCTGTTAACAGGCCCTGTTAAAGAAGCTTTATTGAAGGCACAGGAAGAAACCATCCCAATGTGCAGCAAGAAAAGCAAATATGGTAGGCGACCAGATTGGCTTACCAGTGACATCCTTAGTGAGCTTAAACACAAAAAGGAAGTTTACAAGAAGTGGAAACTTGGACAGATGACTAGGGAGGAGTATCAATATATTGGTCAAGAATACAGGGGAGTTATCAGGAAGGAGAAAGCGCAATTGGAATTTCAGCTAGAAAGGAATGTGAAGGGGAACAAGAAAGGTTTCTACAGGCATGTTAGCAATAAGAGGGTGATCACAGAGGGTGTGGGGCCCTTACTGAATGAGGGAGGTAACCTAGTGACAGATGTGGTGGGAAAAGAACCGATCCTTGGGGCACTCCACTTGAGTGGGAAAAGCTGAAGTACTCAATGCTTTCTTTGCCTCCGTCTTCACAGACAAGGTCAGCTGCCAGAAAAATGCACTAGACAACATGGGAAGGAGGTGGACAGCCCTTGGAGAGGAAAGAACAGGTGAGGAACTATTTAGAAAAGCTAAACATACACAAATCCTTGGGCCTGGATTTAATGCATCCGAGTGTACTGAGGGAGGTAGCAAATATCATTGCGGGGCCTTTGGCCATTATCTTTGAAAAGTCGTGGGAATCGGGAGAGATCCCAAATGACTGGGAAAAGGCAAATGTAGTGCCCATCTTTAAAAAAGGGAAGAAAGACGATCCAGGGAGCTACAGACCAGTCAGCGTTACCTCACTCCCCGGAAAAATCATGGGAGGATCCTCAAGGAATCCATTTTCAAGAGCTTGAAAGAGGGCAAAGTGATCAGGAAAAGTCAACATGGATTCCCGAAGGGCAAGTCATGCCTGACCAATCTGATTAGCTTCTACAATGACGTAACTGGCTCTCTGGATATGGGAAAGACAGTGGATGTGATATACCTTGACATTAGCAAAGCTTTTGATACGGTCTCCCACAACATTCTTGCCAGCAAGTTAGGGAAGTATGGATTGGATAAATGGACTGTAAAGTGGATAGAAAACTGGCTAGATTTTTGGGCCCAGCAGGTAGTGATCAAAGGCTCGATGTCAGGTTGGCAGTCAGTTTCAAGTGGAATGCCCCAAGGATCGGTTCTAGAGCCAGTTTTGTTCAACATCTTTATTAACGACCTGGCTGAGGGGATGGATTGCACCTTCAGAAAGTTTGCAGATGACACTAAGCTAGGAAGAGAGGTTGATATGTTGGAGGGCAGGGATAGGGTCCCAAGTGACCTAGACAGATTAGAGGATTGGGCCAAAAGAAATCTGATGAGGTTCAACAAGGGCAAGTGCAGAGTCCTACACTTGGGACGGAAGCATCCCAAACATTGTTACAGGCTGGGGACCGACTGGCTAAGTAGCAGTTCTGCAAAAAATAGCCTGGGGATTACAGTCGATGAGAAGCTGGAGAGGAGCCAACAGTGTGCCCTTGTAACCAAGAAGGCTAATGGCATATTAGGTGCATTAGGAGGAGCATTGCCAGCAGATCCAGAGAAATGATTATTCCCCTTTATTCAATACTGGTGAGGCCACATCTAGAGTATTGTGTCCTGTTCTGGGCCCCCCACTACAAAAAGGATGTGGACACATTGGAGAAGGTCCAGTGGAGGGCGACCAAAATGATTAGGGGGCTGGAGCATATGACCTGCCAGGAGAGGCTGAGGGATTTGGGTTTGTTTAGTCTATTGATGAGAAGAGTGAGGGGGGATTTGAGAGCAGCCTTCAACTTCCTGAAGGGAGGTTCCAAAGAGGCTGGAGAGAGGCTGTTCACAGTGGTGACTGGTGGCAGAACAAGGAGCAATGGCTTCAAGTTACAGTGGGGGAGGTCTGGGTTGGTGTGACGGGACACCGTGGCCCCACTCTGACAGCTGTGCACAACTCTCTGGGGAGCCTGCCGGCCGTCACGCCAACTCTGCTGCGCATGCTCAGAGGCAACTAGAGAGAACCTGAGGGTAGCTAGGGCCCTGCGGGAAAGCCAGGTCTGGAGGGAAAGCACACCGGAGGCTTGGAACGGGGGCAGGCTGGGGGAGGGAAGCCCGGACCAAAAGGGAGGGTGTGTGACAGGGCACACGCCCTGCACTGGCCCTTTAAGGGAAAACCTAGGCTCCGAGCAAGGGCTGAAAGCAAAGACCCAGCTGAGGCCACTAGGGCTAATGAGGGCCCAGCTGGGGGCTATATAAAGAAGAACAGTTTGCTGCTGTGTGGGGAGAGCAGTAAGGAGTTGGCAGCTGAGGAAGCAGGAGGCGCCCAGGAGCTAGAGCAGTACTGGGGCAACAAAGCAGAGCTAGGGGAGCTCTGGCCAAGTTTGTTCCCAGGCTGTAGGGCCTGCGGCTTGGAGGGTGGTAGCGAGGTGTCCCTGGCAAGCGGGGTAGCAGATCCACACCCTGTGCTGGTGATGAGCAGCCCGTACAGACTGAAGTTTGCCCTGAGATGGGCTAGATGAAGACTGGCAGTGGATCAAGGTGGTGAGTATGCACCCCCACACTTGGATATTAGGAAAAATGATTTCCCTAGGAGGTGGTGAAGCACTGGGCTGGGTTCCCTAGGGAGAGGGTGGAATCTCCATCCCTAGAGAGATTTCAGAGTGAGAAAGCCCTG